AATAAACCTTAAAACACAGGTTTTTTCTGGAATATAAGTTACGTGTTCATCATGCCTGTATGCATATACTCACACTTGCCCACCCACAATTACAAATGCATGCACACATGCACACACACATGTTGATTAGGGCAGCAAAACCACTGTTCTACTATGTATTCATTTCCTTCCGGGTGATGTAGGCTAAAAGAATCCACAGTCTTAATTACTGTCTAATATTTATACTTTTGTTTCAGTCTACTGATAAGGCATAATCATTTATACACAGAACTAGTTTTGTTATTAAAAAATTTCTTAGTGATCCTCAGATGAAACTGTTTCCCCTCTACTCTGTTTACCTATCCCACTCCACTAATTTCAGCAGCTGCAGTTCAGATTACCGATTATCTGAATATGGACTAAAAGTTATCTATAATATGGAAAGTTTTATAGAGGTCTACTGTCTACTACATAGCATATTTAATATTTTTTATAAACATGTAATTTTGAAGGGTTGAATGGCAAATTGAATCTTTTAAAGCAATTCCAATCGCTGTGTTCCCAGCCAGCCTCACTGCTATGGCAGTGGCCAGTAGCAAAGGGGTTGCATTTTTAATAAATGTGTATTCCATCACAATCTCAATTATATTATTCTTTGCATGAAGTGAATAATCATCTCTTCAATTTATTTTATTAGAGAGTCTTGATCTAGATGGGGAAATAAAGAATAGATTAGCTTTTTAATCCTGTGGGACATTGCTGGCTACAAAAATCTTATGAAAATTACAAATCATTTTCCCAAGAAAAGGTACATACAAATAGAATTTTATGTACAATTTCTGCAGGTCCATGGATCCCCTAAAGCCTGCACAATAGACTCCAGGTTATGATTTCCTGAACTAGATACAAAAGTATAATTAAATGAGTAAATAGACCAATAATAATATCACTTAAGGCAGGGCATGTCTTATACATTACTCACCATTATTATAAAAAATAAAAACAACTGTTTAATTGTATATCTTCTGGTTTAAATATATAAAGCATATTAGAACATCTACTTTATATATGTTTTTGACACAAGTTCTGCAATAGTCAAATATATTTGACTATTTCAATTGCAAATTTCTTTTGCTATGAAATGAATACTTTTTCTATTATTAGAAATAAAGTTTGAAGAATGGTTATGACTCTGCTGACTTTAACAGAGGTAAGCAGTATTTTCATTTACCTGTATGGTTTTATTAGCAGCCTACTATAGTGCAAGGACTTAAAATGCTGTACCATATTTCTACTGAATGCACTCACCGGGTTCTGCCACTTTAAGGCATTTTTCCTGGGACTAAAAGAAAATACATTTTTATTTCTGCATAATATCTGCTATAGCTTCTTTTTATTGACTCTCTATAAAAAATACACATAGTGGTGATAATTAATTTCCTAAGTATGTGTGGACAGTATCATGACTACCCTTGCATTTTATCTGTAAAACTCCTCTTCACTCTGAATATTACATTCTATGATAATACTACAGGAAGTTTACTAAAATGTAATCATGCAATCATATGAACACATTGATGTCCACACATTGTGACATAACTCCTACTGCAACACTAATGCTAATTATTTTCATAAGCAAGCAATTTCAATTAAACATACACTTTGGCTACTTCTGGAAATGACTTAACAGCTAGTGGTCTGACTAGGAAGAATAGTGAACTAATCCCTCTAATCCCTTTCCCTAATAATTCCTGAAAACAATCAATGTCCCAGATAACAAAATACTTTAAATGAAAACACTGAACCTAAATGAACTTTGTTTGACTTAGGATTTTGCAATCTCATTTTTATTTGTTATTATTCAATAAGTGGTTTATGGAATGTATTTCTAAGTTCATTCTAATGAAGAAACTTCAACTAGACTTCTTAAAACTCTATTGGAGAATATATTCAAATGGAGTAAAAGGGTTTTCAGCATTTGCCCTGTGTTGCTTAGGGACCCCATATTAACATTGCTCTAGAGGGAAATGCAGGAGCTGCATGAGACCGAATGAAATTATATTGACTCAGGTGTGGAAGCAGAATTAAGCCACAAATATCATTTTATTGCTTATTTCTCTGACAGTGTGAAAAACAAAGGCAAAATGTGCAATTAATGTTCAATAAATATTTTTAGTAGGTGAAATGTGAAAAAATAGTAATTTTAACTGACACTGAGACAGAAAGAAAGAGAGAGCTATGAAACAATGCAAAGGAACTCTGCCATTCACTAAAAAAATACATATATGAATTTTACAACTTAGGAGAGGAGCTAACTGTGTACCGATTGCTATAAAACATATGAGAGAAAGCAATGTATGTTATGAAAATTCAGAAGATAAGAGCTCATATTGGGGAAATCAAGAGAAGGATTCATGAACTTAGTATATACTTTAGCTAGGCCTTGAAGGATGAGTAAGATTTGGGTAACAAATGATAAGAAAAAGACATGGAAGGAATACTGTGAATAAAGCAAGTGACATGGAAGTTAAAGGGTAATTTTGTGGATTAGTTAGATGGTTGGAGTTGGCTACATGAAGTGAGACATTAAAGGTAAATAAGCTGGGGTCAACACATGGTACTTCTTGGGTGCTAAGCTAAAGGGCAGTCAGTGAAGAGCTATTTATTTTAAACAAGGTGTGCTGTGTTCCCAGCCAGCCTCACTGCTATGGCAGTGGCCAGTAGCAAAGGGGTTGCATTTTTAATAAATGTGTATTCCATCACAATCTCAATTATTCATAAGAACAAAAACACTAATTTGAAAACCAGCAACAAATAAAAACATGATACATGTAAAAATTAACTTTACACTCTAAGACAAAAAATATATAACACTTGAGGTAAAAACAGCATCCGTATATATTTTTTTCCATAGAAATAAAAAAGGAAACAGCACTATACTCAACACACTAAAAAGTATTAGCAGGAAATGAGAGCTTTTGGTAAGTCTCAAAGCATAAACATTTAGTAGGAGGTATGTGGCGAAACTTTCTAGAAGATATGTAGTTAGTAAAACAAACAAAATCAGCGTTGTTTACTACTTGTCTGGCATAGATCATTCTTAGGCATGGGAAGAAGCTTAAGCTCCATTCTTAAGCATGGAATTGAGACTCTAAATATATAAGAATTTGCACTAGAGTTACCAGAAGATTATACATGTTTATGCAAGTCAAATACCTTTGGTTTTGTAATTTTAAAATGTCGAAACTCTTACCTCTCACTACAAGGTCAGCTGAAGCTGAAGAATTGTCCACAATTGTCTGGGCAGTGCATGTGTATCTTCCAGCATGTTTCAGCTGTGCGTTTCGGATGAGCAGTTCCCCATTGGAATCCAGCTGTTAGCAAAAACAGCAATTATTCAAATCAGTACATTTTTCACCAATTATATGGCATTTAAGTTAGAAGAGGTAGGTTTTTTTCCCCTGACAAAATGAACACCACTTAAAGAATGTGTTTTAGACATGCTAACTGTATGTCCTTGCTCTAGGCTTCAGTTTCTCAACTGAAAAATAAAGTGAATAATTGATTAATAAAGTATTTTTTTTAGCTTTCATATCTTTAACATTCTATTATTTCCACAATCAGAGGGTTATATCAAGAGAAACTCAAGGGATGAAATTACTTCATTGATATCTCTTAAAGAGAAACATGAAGGTCTAATAAACATAGTTTTCAGTATCAATGAGTTCAAACAAATGCTATATGGTTTGGAAGAATGATTGATTTGGTTTCACAAAGCTGATTTAATTGACTAATTTTAATATGCGCCATAGTTCATTTTACAAAGATACTAAATGTTTGCAGAAATTGAGAAAATGTACAATTCTACTAACAAGTACTCTGTTGACAAATTATAAGTTCTGTGAGAACAAGAGTTTTTTGTTCGATGCTCTATTCTATTGCCTCCAGGAGTTTTCAACACATAGTTTTGAGAGTCTTGAGAAAATTTTGCTTGTGATGATGAGACACCATTTCAATGTAATTTCCAAAAGTATCTAATAGTTATTGAATGCCTACTCTATACCAGGTCCTGGTCTGTGCAAATATATACATACATACACACACACACACACACACACACACTTTTATTCAATCCTTTTTTGAGAACTGCCCTATGAGATAGGTCTTACTATGTCCATTTAATTAACAATAAAAGTGAGACTTAGAGAATCCAAGTAATTTAACTAAGATAACTAAGGTCACTCAGCTTGTATGATAGCGGGAGCATGTCAAAGTTCATGTTAATTATCTCCAAGATATTTTCTTAGAATTAAAACTTGGAAAACTCAATTTTTAAATGGATGTTTGGTTTTCTTGTGAACCAAAAATATTGATTAACTATTTCAGTCATAAGTATCTAGATACCTATGATGTATCATGCCTGTACATGGAGTGAATGTTTTGCTTCACTATAGGTTCTACCAATAGCCTCTTCATATATTATGTTCCCTCCAGTTCTTGGAAAACATTTGGGCCTGCATCCCGTGCTAGATTAATGAGGTTAAGAATAATAGCTGAGCGAGCATACTGGTATAGTTGGTTGAAATAAAATACTAATATCTCCACATAAAGAACTGATCAGTGGCCACACACCTTATTCCCTGATATTAGCCAGTCTTAATTTAATGTCAGTTGAGATCATCTGGTCCCTTGAGGTACAGATTGGCCGAAAATCGAAACAGTTCACAAGATTTCTACAAATTCCTGGAATAGGGGAGTTTTCTCCTTCTGTCTTCTTAGTCTGTTATTTATTTATTTATTTATGTCATACCAAGGAGCTCCAGACTAGAAATTCAGCACTTTCTCTATTTTATCATAAAACCAAATAGCATGAAGTGTTATCTAGTAAAGTGAGTTTACTGAACAATTGAAGGAGCTGGAACTGGTTATATCAAAAACAAGTAGGGCAAATCAACCTTGAAAAGTATCATCCACTGCATACTCCTGTTTTTAAAAGTCCTGTTGGCCGTAAATTTATTGGGAACTTCCCAGTGACCTTCACCTCTCCCAGTGCTCTGCCATCTTGTTGGCAGCCACTCCTACTACCAATCTCTTATTTCTCTCTTCTCTTCTTTCTCTTGTAAATAAATAATTCTTATTTTCTCATATTAAGCTCTTTGATTGTTTAATTTTTGCTTGGATTCTGACAATATCTATTCGGTTTTTAGTTTTTCCATTTCTTCATTTCTTACTCTTCAATCAGTTCTCATCTGAGTCCCACTGCTTCAACTCATCTTATTTGACTTCTTGATAGCATTTGGCTTTCCTTCCCCAAATACTCATTTTTTTCTAGTCATCTGAATTTCCAGGAACTTCTATGACATTCTTAACCCCTCCCTTTCTTCAACTTTCTTATAAACCCATCATAAATTCTTGAATGTATCCATTCTTTCCATCACAACTGCCTCTTATCCAAACTCCCCACATCTCTCACCTGAACCCTTACATCTTATTTGATCACTACTTCTACCACTGTTCCACCCTATTATTTTCTCTATTGGTTACCTAGAATAACCTTTTAAAAATGCAGGTAGGCCCAACTCACTTGTTTCCATAAAAGCAGATAAACTGAAACCTTTAAAATTTCCCTTTCCTGGGACAAAAGCCATAGCATTATTGTAGCCAACTGGATTCCATTCTCTAGGCTCTATCTGATGCTCCAGCTCAGCTAGTGTGCCATCTCACTCACACTCTGCTCTCCAGGAAGAACATACTCTTTTTAGGACTGCAAATGCATCTTGTTCTCTTCAATCTCTGGTTCACCACATTGTCTTGTCTTTTGGAATTGTGATTCATACCCCTAATAACCTCAATACCCTCTCCCGTATCACCTTCACCTCTACCCAATACCAGTTCAAATCATTTTCTCCAGTAAGCCTTTACCTTTTCTGTGGACTAGGCAGGTCCCCTTTCTGTATTTCATTACACTACCATGAAACTTATGTCATATTACATATCTTAAATGCAGTTAAACACTTGTGTGATTATGTGGTTGAAGTTGGTCTCCCTGGCCGACTGTAAGTTTGATGTGAGGAAATAGGTCTGTTTTATTTAGCAGACATGTTGTATCCCTGTATTGTATATGTATACAGCTGCATGTGCTGTCTTCTCAAGTCCAGCACAGTGCCAAGCAAATAATCACACTAAATATATCTTGTTTGAATGAACTTGTCAAATTGTCTAGAATTTTGGTATCTGCTCTTAAGATAATATGTATTCACCTCTTTTCAGCTACATTCAGAATTATGTTAGCAAGTACATATAACTAATGACAGTGACAGCATATACTAAACACATAATGAGGCTTTTCTTGTGTGAGAGTGAAGTACACACACCTTCAACCTCCATAGATTGCCCCTGCACCTAACTCCTGAGCCCCAGCCACGGCGAATAGGATATACTTTGCTATGTGCTCTCACAGCCAACTTTTGCATATATCACTTGCATGGCCTGGATTGCCCCACCTCCCACTTCCATTAATTGGCTATGAACGTTCAACCCACATTTTGGATACCCCTCCCATTTCTGAAATTGTAAGGCTGGATTAGTTACTGCCCTTTGTACATTTTCATTGTAACTATTCCTTTCTACTGTAATCATGTCACTGTTGATTTCTTCCACTAGACTGTAATTCCTTAAGGAAAGAACCAGGTCTTATTCATTATTACATACTAAGTACTTAATGTAATATCTGAAATATAATAGAATTCAACAAATAAATATTGAATAGATACATTAAAATAATCTAAAGTGTTTTTATTAAATAGACATCCTTTTAGTAATTTCAAATGTTTTTTTCAGGTATGAGAATGATAATGTTATAAGATAAAATAACTGACTTGAGAAAAACTATTGCTATCCATATCTATGAGATAAACTACTAGGAATGATATATTTCAAATATCTATACACTAATTTCATAAGAAAATGAAAGGTTATTGGGAAGACGTGAAAATTTATAGAGAAAACAATATCACTAACATACAAGAAAACTGAACATCTAACCTTTCCAACCCCTAGTGTAGTAAAGAATTTGGCCTTGCCCAAAGAGAGGTCTTGCCATTGCCCTCAGCTTCTAGAAAGTAATCTCTATAATGTCTTTCTTTGCTTGGGAGGTCTTGGGTCATACAGGATAGTCCAATCATATGATTTAGAGTATGGGTTAGCCACACCTGTATAGTCTTCAAGCTGGGTCTGGTCATAGAGTAGGAGTTGGGTCACACTGGAAAATCCAACCATGTGATTTAGGGCATGAGTTAATTACACCTGTAGAGTCTTAGAGAAGGGCCTGGTCATGCCACAAATAGGACATTTTGACTTAGAGTAGGGGATTTGATTCATGTGGTATCAGTCAACCCAGAGACTGAGATTAACCATGTGAGCAATGAGTCCATCAATCATGTCTAGTTGATAAAGTCCCCCCAAAACCTCTGGACAGAAAGGCTCAGTAAGCTTTGCTGGTTGGCACTTCAAACACACTGCCACATGTCAGAGCAGTCAGAGTAATGCATTTTAACAGCACGGGGAGAAGACAATAGAAGCTCTGTGTTTGGTACTTCTCCACTCTGCCCTGTGTGCTTTTTCCTTTGGCTAGTTTTAATTTGTATCCTTTTCCTGTAAGAAGCTGTACCCGCGTGTATAATAGCTTTAAGTGAGTTCTGTGAATCACTTCTAGCGAAGCGTGGAAACTGAGGGTGGTTTTTACAACCCCTTGAACTTGCAGTTGGTGTCAGAAGTGAGGGTGGTTTTGAGGACTGTGTCCAACTTTGCAGCTGGCCTAACTTCTTATACCATACTAAATAGAATTCATCTAATAAAGGAGGTAAAATATGTTATTTTATTACTTATAGTTATATTTAAATTTTTTCGAGGTAAGCAGAGAGTAAGACTCATATATAGAGAAAGTAAATATGAGTTTTTCTTGAACTATCATAAAAGTTAATTGACATATATGTCTAAGTATTTTTTTACTAGGAAAAGTAAAATATAAAATAATTATGGTAAAATAAAATAAACATTATATGTTTGTTAAATAGACTGTTTTGATGTATCTTGACATCCTTAATTGAAATGCACTTGATACTAAATATTCAATAATATAAATGTATTAAGTAAAATCTTTCAACTATTATGACACAACATAATAGTAATATTTGGAAAGAATAATGTCTGCATATAAGTAAAAAGCACTTTTTTTGTATTTATTCATTAAATGATCTCAGTACTTTGGTTGCTTTGGTGTCTAATTGAAAGATAATCCTATTACTAAACTCCCACTCTTTCAATGAGTCATGTCATTAGATTTGAATTTTCAAAACAATCACCTTAGCAATTT